CAATCCATTCCGACGCATCATTCAGGTATATTCTGTCTTAATTTTATTAATTCCGCCATGTTTTTCAATTTGGTATCAGAGCTAAGTAACGTTCTTATTATTCTTATTATTAGTTTGCATATTCAATCTATCGTTAATAAGAATATATGCATATGCAGCATCATAAACATGATAAGCATCATAAACATAATAAACATCATAAACATGATAATAAATAACCATTGTTTTTAAATATTCATATTTAAAAAAGTTATCAACAATTAAAATATTTATCGTAAGAAGATTTAATACCATAAATATGTCTCAAGATATTTTCAATTGTTAGATTACTTTTATTTCTTAATGATAGTATCATTTCGAGTTGTTTTAACTATTAATTCTACAAAATTTGAAATTTTTATTAAAATAATACTCGTTCTTAATAATCAAATTAATCAAATTCATGCTTGAAATATATATTTATATCTAACAAAATTCTGATGAATTGTATTCCTAATAGAACTATTATTTTAAGAATACAACAAATCCAAGAATCTATAAATAATTCTAAGAAAAATCTCAAGGATTCTTACAAACCTAATAATCAAGGTACGATTTTAAACAATAACCATATTCATGATGTTAGATATTTCATAAGAACTAGTATTAAAATCCGTTACAAGCAAATACGACGTCTAAAAACAAAAACTATTTGTATTCTAAACATATGTCTTTTAAACACTATTATATTAACACTACTATTAAATAATTTTAATCGTAATTTTAAATCTAAAACGAAACTAAACTATTATTATTATAAAATTATAATCATGAGTTTTTCAAGTCTAGATACAAATAAACAAGAATTAAATTTTTTTCGTAAAACATTGAAACAATCTAAAAAATTTCTTTTAGACTTAAAAATAGATTCTGACATATCAATGATAATTGTATATCTAATATTGAAGCAATACATATAATAAATAATAGTATAAATTGGAAACAAGAACAAATAAAAAACCTTGAAGATAAAATAACAAAATTAATTTGTTAATATGATATAAAAAGCGTTAATAATAACTACTTCACTAGAAAAAAGAAACTAAAATTGTATTTTTAATACACACAATACATATGGAAACTTTACAAGAAAAAGTAGAAACACTAACTAAATTATTTGCAGCATTAGAAATTCCATCTGAAACTCAAGAAAATAATATAGAAATAGAAAATAATTCAGATGATAATGACGCAGAAGTAATATATGATTTTTCTTCAGATGATGAAAACCCTTATTCAAATCCATATAGAGATTCACAAAATAATTTTGGATTAAAACGAAAACAATCATATGTTGAAGATGATTATCAAAGTCAATATATTTATGGACCACCTTCATTAGAAGAAAATTTTTTATATAGACAAGGAATGGTTAAAAATAAACAAAACAAATGGGAAAAATACCTCCTCAATACATACCTAAATTATTTACATTTCCAACAAATTCAGATATTCTTTTTATTGATTGTGACCAAAATCCTGAAGCAAAAATTCAAGAATGGAGTAATAAAATGGGAGTACAAATTCAGTTAACCGAAGAATTAAGAAATTTACACCCAAAACATTTTCTTAATTATATCATTCATAAAACACAAGGTAACGCATATCGTTTCCTTTCATCTCTTGATGAAACCGAAACAATGATGATAGCCACCACTGATGCTATGAAAACATTTAAAAATGTACTAAGCCGTCTTATTCAGGAATTCATAGGAAAACAAATTGAAGATAAAATATCAAAAGAAGCTTTTCAATTAGAATCATTATGGCATTTAACTAATTTACGAATTTGTAATATGTGTTATCTAGAACCATTTATATGCGAATATTCCGAACATTATTATAATTTAGATCCCACTAGAAAAAAGGCAGCGTTAGATATGTTCTATCAAAAACTACCATCATCAGTAAGCCAAAGTGTAATAAAAGATTTCCAAGAAGCATTACAACAAAATAAAATTGCAGACACTCTAGGAGCACGAATAAGTATATTAAAAGCATGGATGTAGAAAAAATGTTTACAACAAAAAACAACACAAGATGCAAAAATAGATTTATGTTGTGACATCCTTTCTAACAAAGTAAATCAATATGGTTGTAAAGAAAAACAACAAAGTAAAAAGAAAATTTGGAAAAAACAAACATATAAACCTAAATACAAAGAATATTATAAACAAGGGGAAAGAAAATATTTCCGAAATAGAAAACAATATAAACAAAAATATCAATCCAAAACAAATTATTGCCCATCGAATAAAAAAGACTGTAAATGTTGGATATGTCAAGAAGAAGGACACAAAGCTTATGAATGCCTAAAAAAGACTAAAAAAGAAAAAGAAACAAATATATTAAAAATTGCATACGACCTTGGATACGAACCCATAGAAGATTTAGATATAAATTCAGATATAGATATTTATGCATATACAACTGATTCTGATTCAGATGCAGGTACATAATCCTATGGAAAAAGTATTATTAGAATTTGAGGGAAACCTCATATCTAACCTATCTGGAATATACATTGCTAAAGCATACAATGATATGAAAGTACCATCTGAAGTAAACAATGATAAAGTATACAGTGATATGAATATATCACCAAAAGCATACAGTGATATGAATATATCACCAAAAGCATACATTGATATGAAAATTCTCATATCATCATTTGAAACAAACAAATTTAAGCAATCATTCAGGTACTCAAGAAACGCAAACATTCAGTCCACAAATATATTGAAATGGAAGCAATCATGAAGCAAATCAAACGCCAGTTCAAACTGAAAGAAGATCAAGAAGCATCATTAGTCAGACAACTCGAAGCAGTCAGACGAGAAAAAGAACAACTACGACAAACAATACAAATTCTATCATCTCAATCAGTATCTAAAGAAGAAGCAGCTAGCAGTTCAACAACGAAGCAACCAAAAGAAGACATTCAAGAAATTTCATCCGATGATAGTCAGCCACAAACAATGCTCAAGTCAGAAAAACAACCTATAAATCCAGAAGAATATCCACCACTTCAAGCAGATCATAAAAATATAAAGAAATGGTACGTAATTTTCAACGGAGAAAACAAAGGAGTATATGACGATTGGGGAATCGCCAGTTCATATATTCTTGGAAAAAACATCATTCACAAAAGCTACAAAACAAAAATGAAGCAAAAACCGCATTCAACGAAGCATACAAAGTAGTCATAAAAGATAACGTCGAATGTTCAAAAACAGTCCTCCTGACACCACAAAAACTCATATCCAGCTTTACGCGACAAAAACCTATATCCATCCCAAGATCTCTTAACCAATTAAATGCAAAAATTGCCCTTGAATCCATTCTATCAACCAAAGAAAAAGAAGCCATGAAAAAACCATCTGCCAAAAAATTTGCCGAATTATGGGACAGCCTAATCTCATACACCGAAGTCCATTCTCTTATGGGCTTTTACCCAGTAGCCAGACGACCAGGTCCTAAAGCAGTCTTCCTAGCCGACTTATCAGATCCTATGACTTTATGGGATTATTTTATTCATGGGTTCATCGACACCATCTATCTAGAAGGCACCAATCTACACTGCATCAGCGAATTCCCTTCTGTTGTGCAAACTATCATCAGAAATTATAAAATACGCTTTGCAAAACAAAGAAAGAGGATTATTCATCAAAATGCATTCTAGCTACCCAATTTTTGATGAAGAATCTCAACTAATTGTCCCAAGTATTACTTTTGCAAACATGGGAATAAGCAACGGCTCAAAACCAACAAAAGATGATCTACCCCGTGAATCCCCAACACAAGAGCATCTAATCTTTGCACTTGCCGGTGTTTATTTAGCATCATCATGCATTGGCAACGGTAAAGATCAAAGGTCAAGAATCAGAGTAAATTATGCTAGTAAAACTTTCATTATCTACTCCTTAACAGACAATGAAATCACTCCGGAAGCAATGAAAGCAATTGAAACATTCGAACAACCTTTCGAAAAATTTTCTCATCAACTGGCTGAATTACCCGATGATATCAAGAAACAACTTTGCAAACATATTATGCATGCTCCAAGACACAATTGCAGTCACTGTTCAGAAAACACATAAGAAACACCATTTATGGAAGATTAACTTCAGAAATGATGCAAGCAAACATTTTCAAAATTATGTCTTTTTGGAGGCGGGAGGAATGACGTAAGAAATCATATTATTAAAGACAACACATCTTTGAAGATAACGATTCATTATAGACCATAATAATTCTATTTTGTCTTTTATAATTATGTAAAGTGTCGGTAAGGTTAATAAGTGTGTAGCATCCCCCAGCAACGTTAAAAGCCAAACCTGTTGTAACATAAGTACTATAAAGAAAATACGATAACAACTATCTTTTTGCCAAATATAACTATAATGAAGATACCCTGCAGTACAAAAATAGATGTGAAGTATTTTCAATAATTAATTAATAGAAGAATTAGTAAAGTAACCAGAAATCTACATTAAACAGGCGTCTACTATTTTTAGTAATTAATTACTAAAAGATTTAACATAGTATAAATATTAATTTACAAAATTTCCAAGAAACGAAAACGAAAGAGCCTGTAATTTTCCTGATTTAGGTAGAGAGCAGGTGGGTCAAAAAATCGTCTTTTATGGTCTCCGTCCTCGAGGAATAAATAATAGAGACAAAGACACGAAACAAACAAACTAAAATACTAAAATCTTCCAAATCATCGACGATGATGTTACAACTGACAGTGGCTGCTTTGATTTTCGTAGTGATGGTGGTGGCGAAAAAATTGATGATGATGTTACAGCGGGAAGATCCGAAGGGACAACCGCTTTCTTGGTGATGGTATTGGAATAAGAGCAAGATTAAGTTCTGCATTCAATGGATCTCCTCAAGGAATTGAACTTGTAGAGCTGCAATCATGGAGCCACGAGGATTCCGAAGAGTTCAAGCCAGACATGATAGAGAAACCTCAATTCTTTTGCTCCACGCCTTTTAATGTATCCGGGGACGATAATCTCAGTGCAATTGCTAGTCATGGCGGTGGTGGTGGTAGAACGGATCGTGGGGTAGAGGTAGGCCCTAGACAGGAGCAGGAAAGCGGTGGTGACACTGCCGGAGCAGGTGGTGGTATCGGGATCCGACGAGGTTCGAATAATAGTATTGATGGTGGTGAAGCGGCAATTCAAATATTGAGACAGGAAGCGGAAATTCAAAGATTGAAGCAGGAGCTGGCATCGGTGGTTGTGAAGATGAAGGTGATGTTGATTTTGGTGGGGGCATTGGTGTCGGCGATGATTTACGCCTTGTAGAAGATATTTTGAGGCATTTATGAATTATCTATTACTAAGTAACCGCGTTCATAATTGTTGTAATAGTTTCGTGCGTTAAATTTAATGCATGTTTTGCAACTTGTGCCATTGAGAATCGATTTTTGTTGGTTATATAATATATACTAGGTTACAACCTGTGGAATCCACGGGTTAAAAAATTTATAAAAAAATTATATTATTAATAAGAAATAAATTTGTTTAACATTTTTATATTTATTATTTAAAATTAATATTAATATATATTTGTACAAAAATATACAAATTTGAATAGATGTTAAAAGAAACACAAGCAAACATTAGAAAAGTTAAATACAAAGATAACTAAAGTGAAAGTTTGCATATTTGAATGTATGTTTTATGAAATGCGAGGGCAAATCAGTAATTTTTTGATTTGAGGGAGCAAACAATAAACACCATGTGACATTGATTAAAATGTGAAAATGAAATATCAAAACAAAATCAATATTATGGATTGCAATGGTATATAAAAAATATATAAAAAATTTAAATAAAAAAAAATACAATTGTTTTAATTTAAACACTACGAATGATTTATAAATTTCTAAAAACTTTTTTATACACAACATTGGAAGTTTTGTTTGTAAGTCTACCATTCTTATCTAAAATTAACAATTTCAATCATTCTCTACTTTGAACTCTCGATAAGGCAACATACAACTGTCCATGTGAAAAAACAGGATCTTTGAGATACAGACCAACCTTTAATAGCGACTGCCCTTGACTTTTATTAATTGTCATTGCAAAACATACAGCCACAGGAAATTGTCTTCTTTGAAATTTGAAGGGAATTTTTTTTTCAGATGGAGTTAAAGGCAATCTTGGAATAAAGGTTTGTTTTCCAATATTAGTTCCAGATATGATAATTGCCTCAATAACACGTTTGCCCAAAGATTTCACTTGTAGTCTGGTGCCGTTACATAATCCATTCTTTTGATCAATGTTTCTAAGTAACATAACTGGAACACCGACTTTTAAAATTAACCTATGATTTGGCAAACCTGATATTTTAAGACCATTTAAAATATCTGGGGAGTATAAATTGGGATCAAAATGATCATGAACAAACTCTGATTGGCAAAGACTATCTGAACTTAAATATTCAACTTCGTCTCGGGAAACAGTGCTAACAAACGATCATTGATTTGTTGGACAACTTCATTTTTCGGAGCTAGTATAGCTCTTTCTTGAAAATAACTCATAACGTTGAATTTTTCCAAGATTGAAGGATATACAAACTCAATTAATGAACCTATAGGATCATGTGGATCATTAATGAGAATATCATCCGGAACATCAATAATCGCTTCACCATCGTTTGAACCACCAACTTTTCCTTCTCCTATATCCAAAAGCCAGTTTGCAAAACTTTGTATTTTTCGAATATCAGATGGTTCCCTTCCAACGGTTAGTCTCATGTTTATTGTTAATCTATGGACTTTGCATTGTTGCCATATATATGAAGAACTTAAAGAAGCATTAACAATATTTTGTCTACTGCCTCCTTGAACAACAGGTAGAATCTGTCTGAAGTCTCCTCCAAAAACAATCACTTTCCCTCCAAATGGAATTTTTGAGTTGCCAGACTTGTCAAAGTTACATACATCTTTCAGAGCTCGATCTAAAGCTTCAAATGCATGCTTGTGGACCATAGGTGCTTCATCCCAGATAATCAATGAGGTTTTTCTTACTAATCTGCCGAGTTCACTATCAGGCGATATCTTACAAACAGAATCCTCTGTAAGATTCAATGGAATTATAAACCGAGAGTGTGTTGTCCTACCTCCAGGCAATAATAACGATGCAATACCACTTGAAGCAACATTTAAAACTATATCACCTTTACATCTAATTGCTGCAGATATCGTCTTCCAAAGAAAGGTTTTGCCTGTTCCACCATATCCATACACAAAAAAAACACCTCCTTTCTTATCATTGACTGTAGTCATGATATCAATAAAAATATTTCGCTGCTCGTTTGTTAATGCATGAAACATTCGATCAAACTCTTTCTTTAAGATGGGTATGTCATAGTCTAGCTCCTCCGTGATAAGGCGATTTGTTGAAGAAGAAACCATATCAGTATCAGGGTAAGGCATTTTGTTATAATTTTTAAGACTGGTGTTGTTACGAAGTAAAATCTGTTCGATCTCAAACAAAGTCAGGTTTTTAAGTTGATCCTCATTGAGTGTTAAACCTGTAAAAATTATGAATATGTAAAAAACAATATAATATTAAAAACATTAATTTTTATAAACAAATTTGCACGCTGCATATTGAAAATATATAATATTCATTTTTACAAATAATGTTAAAAAATTATAATACCTGGAGACTTTAATGTACGTTGCTGGTTGTAAAGAATACCATCTGACAATAGTTGCCATGTATTTTCCCAAACAAACTCTGGTCTACCCAAACTGTCAGACATTAACATCGTAGCAAATAAGAAACGCATATAAAAACCAGTTCCTGAATGACTTGCTTCCTTAATTGCTTCGACATATTCTTTGTCGTCGTCTAAGAGGCCCAAATCATAACATGCATCTCGAAAAGTAGGAAATTCTTCACCATTTACCGTACGAATTTCTTCAAATGATTTTGGACCTTTCACTTTATTTAAAAGAATTCTTAGGAAGTATATTTCACCAAGTTTAGGTGAAACAGAGTGAATCCTTCCTATTGAACGTCCAATTTTCCTTGGCTTCCACAACTTATGATTAGCTTTCCAAACGAACTTTGTCGGAAATTCAACATATGTAAGTTTTCGTGCATCTTTATTAATTTTATTACATTCCATCCAAGATGTGAACATAGAAGCAGCAACTGAAGGTTGTTCAAGAACATCGTCAATATCATCGTCTGCAGCATATATAAGTTGTTGTTGATTAGGAAGATGAAAAGTAGTTGCATCATAGAAGGATATCGGTAATGAACATCATATTTAAATATTCGCCATGATGCTTCACATGCAGATAAATATCTACAATCATAATAATCTTTTATTTCATCGACAACCTTTTCTTGATGAGAATCAGTGTTGATGTCAACAGCAACTGTAGCTCTATCTGGACCTTTGTTTATATATTTAAACAGATACTTTTTGGAAGATCCTTGATTGCACCATTCAACATTAACATGTGCCTGATATCTTTTCAACAGATATTTGTTATATGGAACAACATTTCTGTTGTCTAACTTGACACCTGATTTTTCGACAAAATATCCATTGTTTCTTCTCATATATAAGGGATAACCGTTGTTATCAACTGAAGAATGATTACAGAATTGCTTTGGAAAATTTTTCGAACATTGCCTGTCAACCATACATGGGCAATTCATATTTTCAGCTCCACAAGGACCATGTATCATGAATTCACTTACAAGTGAATACAACTCTGGCTCTTCATTGATATTTGGAATCTCCGCGGAAATTATCGGATCAATATATTCAACAGTAGGCCGCTTGGAGTCAGGATGCATAAATAGACAAATATGACTATGTGGCAAACCCCTTTTTTGAAATTCAATTGTATAGACAACTGCAAATAAATTTTACAAAAAATATATGATTAGTAGTGAATGAATTATATTTGCAACTAATAAATAATGTTAAGAAACGAAAAAAGAATAAAAAATAAATTTTTATTAAACAACAACTTTCAATACCTGCTTGAACGATGCCGAAAATTTTATTTTCCCGTATGTCTTTAATAAAAGCATCAAGCTTTATTTTGAATAGCCTACATAAGATATCAGGTCTATCTTCAGGATGCAATGAAGTGTTACGAAGAAACCTTTTAACTTCAGGCCATTTTGGGTTACATGTAAAGGTTATGAAGAAATCAGGATATCCAAACCATTTACATAAGGACATGGCGTCAAGGTAGTTTTGCATCATATAACGTGCACCGCCAGTGAATGAGGTAGGTAAGATAACACGTTGTCCGACGTTGGATATATCTCTATTCCCGAGGTCTTGTTGATTACGTAAAATCTCATAAGACTCGCATCTAAGAATTTGTTGTTTGCTCCTTATGAAATGTAATCTCTCGCTTTCAATCATAGTATAAGCGTCTACCAAAAACTGTTGGAACAACCTTTTTGAATTAAGAATTAGTGAAAAATATTGATCCCTGTCCTGTATTCTATAAGAAAAAAATTCTCTCATTGTACAGTTGGGCCGCTTGCTGTTGCTTGAAGATGTAATACCTCGATGTGGTATGTCAACTCTGTAACCATCATCACCATATGGAAAGAGTAGTGGATATTGAAGAGGAAGGTATGATGGATGTAATTCACTAATACGCCGTAGAGAACCAGATGAAGTTTGAACAACAATATCTCTATTATCAATTGAATCACCAATATCTCCAACAATCAAAGCTGCTACCTCAGAAGCAGACGGTAGGTTGTATGTCCTTCCATCTTGGTCCCTTCTTCCAATAATTCTCAACTTGATATCAGCACAAGGATTTTCATTAAAACAATCTCTAACCATCCTATAAGATTGAACCAAGACATTATTTGAATCTAACATCAATTTCAAATCTTGTATAATATCATCATCAAGGACAGAAGAATTTGATGTAGATCGTTGATTTTCTCCACTGCAAGTACCATTAACAGATAAACATAAGATAAATAAAGAAAGTATTACTGATCAATAAGATATATATTAATATTAATGTGATAATATAGAAAAGTGTACCCCAAGCATGTTCGTCTATTTGCGATTTCATTATCAGTATCGTATATGTACAACTGAGAGAATTTTGGTTTAAATCCCTGATTTGGTAAAAGGCTTCCGATACTATGATAATTTTGACCACTAAGTCTAAAAATGTATGGAGCATTGCCTCTATTGATTGAGGAATCAATTTTGCCACCCATCGACGTAAAAGAAAACATAGAATTGTACGAACGAATGTTCTTCATGAAATGTTTGCTTTTAGAATCTCCAGATTTAAAAAGAATTTCATAACTTGGAGGTGCATTCTTTAACTCTGCAAGTTCAACTTTGCCATAACCACAACATAGAGAGAGAAATTTTCATTATCCTTTTTTCTACATTTGATAGATTCATCTTTCCATAATTTTGCAAAACATGTTTGGCATACAACATTCTGATCACCATGATCCAAATAATCTGTGAATTAAGTTTTACATAAAAAGTTAATATTGTAAGTTTAGATAATTGAAAATGATTGGATAAACAACTGTAAATTTTATACTTTTTAAAAATTTACCTTTTGATATACCGTTGTATATGTTTTGATTACTTTGACCATCGTTGTTGTCTTGATCGGATGTCAAACCAATTATTGGAATAGGAGATAAATTTGCCCTTTTTTGTTTTTATTACGATTAGGATTGGTAGACATGACTGAAGATGATCTCTTTGTTACTGTAGATGAGTTGTTTGATGTATCACCATTTGAAATTACAGAGTATTGTCGAATATTTGGTAACGGTGATTGAAAACTGTTTTTTGAAATATCCATCGCTAGGGAAAAAAGATTAAAAATATGCATTGTTAAATATCATAGAATAAAAATATATATTATTAGATGAAATGGTACAATAAATGACTTACCATTGGAAATGTTAGATAACGGAGTTCTAACATTTAAATGTGAAGGAGGATTTTGTAAAATTGATTGTTTTGACATGTTTGCAGTTGATTCAGATGAGGTTATGTTTTTATTTCGACGAACAACTCCGTTGATTTTGTCTGTAAAAAATATGTTAATGAGAAATGAGTCAATATTTAATATGAAATAATAAGTTTTAATTTATATTTCTAAACAAAGATAAAAAATTTAAGAGCAATCAAGTATGTTACCGTTTGAATCCATTCCGATGTTTGGTAAGGGTGCTTGAAAACTGTTATTGGAGATATCCATGACTGGGAAAAGAAGTGTGAAGGTATACAATATTAAATATGATACAATGACAATATATGTATTATAAAATAAAAATATATATGAGATACCATTGGAAATGTTAGATAACGGAGTTCTAAAATTTAAATATGAAGGTGTTTGTAACATTGGTTGTTTTGACATTTTCCCATTTGACATAGATGTGCATACGTTTTTGTTTCGATTGACCACTCCTTTGAATGTTTCTGTAAAAAAATTGTTATAAGAAATGGATAAATTATAAATAAAAGTGTAATTGTTTGAAGGTTAGAAAGAAAGTGTAAAAACAATGATGTATGTTACTGTTTGAATCGAACCTGATGTTTGTTGACGGTGATTGAAAACTGTTATTGGAAATATCCATGACTGGGATAAGAAAATTGAAGGTAAACAATATTATATATGATACAATAAGATTGTCGATTATAAAAATAAATTAAACAAATAAATGACTTACCATTGGAAATGTTAGATAAAGGAGTTCTAACATTTAAATGTGAAGGATGATTTGGTAACATTGATTTTTTTGAAACATTGGCACTTGATGTAGATGCGGATACGTTTTTACTTCGATGGACAACTCCTTTAAATTTGCATTGAGAAAAAAAAATTATAAATAAAATAACTTATAAATAATATTAGAAATCGATAAATAATATATGAATATTAATATTGATAAATACATATTACTTTAAAAAAGCATTTCAAATTAATTACTTTTATATTTAACTGATAAAAAAATGTGTACATGACTTTAAGTAGGTTATCTATTAATTTCATTTTCAAAAGATGTGACATAGATGAAATTGAAAGGATTCATTTGGTCATACTTTTTTTTATTGTCCAAATATAATTTTCTTATTCTTTTTTTTTCTCTAGCCTGAACATGATAGATGTTTCTATCTGAATCTGCATAAGCATATATATATATATATATATATATATATATATATATATATATATATATATATATATATATAGAGAGAGAGAGAGAGAGAGAGAGAGACATAAAATAGTTATAATTAAGAAAATTTTTTATAAAGAAAGTAATAACATATTAATTGAACGTACAGTTAACACCCGGGTTACTAACATTTGTAGAAGATAGAATTTGATCAACTGATGTAGTGTACATCGGTATATGTTTTGTATTATCAAGATAGAAATTATTTAATTTTATCTTCTTATTAGTCTTGTAAACATCCATGTTAATTGTTAGTATCTGAAATATAAGAAAAATAAGAGAAAATATATTAATGGTAATTTTTGTACTGTAATATACTACAAACCTGTACATTTTCAGAATTTATTTTGCCTTTATTTTGTTTATATTTCAGATTCATTGAGGGGTTACACAAAGAAAGCTAAAAGTACAATCGAAATTAATACGAATAGAAATAAAATTTTATATTTATGTTTTTGAGTTCGGGGGCATTTCTGTGACGTTATAATGACAAATACATTTTTCTATCAGTTTTTTGTTATATTTTTTCTTCTTTATTATTAGTTGATTGTATTTTGTATTACTTGACTGGTAGGTTCTATTTTGAATTAAGGGGCAGTTCTGTCATGTTTCATAGAATTACATATTTGTCATTGATTTGAACCGGTTTACACCAAAAACATATTAATCAAAGGGAAATAGGATATGATGTAGGCTTAAACAGAACCATTTTTAGTTGTTAATATTACTGAATACGAAATTTTCGTTTTTGCATTACCCTACTACTATTTACTTAGCATTAAACTTTAATTCAATGTCACTTAATATGTTCATCCATGTTTTATTCATGTAGGTTTTTATACAATCTTTACACGAAAAACGTCTATCTAAACATCAAGCATATGAAAGTGGACCAGGTGTAAAAAGTATTTCATATTTCCTAATGGCCGATGTTTAGCAGTTCGTAGTAACAACCAGATGTTTAGAGTAAAAAAAACAATGATAAGCAGAATTTAAGTCGCAGAATTCAGAAGAAGAAAAGAATTTTCAATTGTACGATTAACACAAACATTGAGAAGCAATCATATATAATCATGAGAAACTTACCGAAGGAAAAAAGTCGGTGATTGAATATCCGAAATTAAGAAGCAGAATTGAGATGCAGAGAGTGTCCTTTGGATTGAAGTATGTAACTGAATATTCGAAATTCAACTTACGTGAGATTATTAAGATTAAGATCCATAATAACCACACAATGCTGTAAAGAAATACTGATTATCATATGTTTCAAATATATACTGACAAATATATACTGACAAATATATGATCAAATCGACATAATAATGAAAATTAAATGTAATAGATATGATTGATATGGATACCATAAAAAAATGCTCTTAATCAGGTAATTATATAATTTCCATATTGAATATCGATTTCTAAGTGAAAGAAATAAATGGTAAAATATGGTATTTTATATTTGTAAAATACGTTTTATCTGCATAATTTGCTTAAATGTGATTTATTTTAAGAAGTTTCGAATCATAATACCTGTCATAGTGGTATGTGTTTTGAAAAAAATACACCTGTGTCAAAAAACCTAACACATCACATGGAATGAGCCGGCGAGGGCATATTAGTCTTTTGCATATATATATATATATATATATATATATATATATATATATTTGGCCAAAAAGTGTTATGTACTTTGTATTGATTCAGAAACAGAAAGATATATTTAAGTTGTGAATGATCCAGATCAATATGAACATTCCGGATGCAATATTTGTAAATAAAAAAAATTGACATGTTATTTAGGTCTACCAGAGGAGACAATAAATTCACAATTATTTTGGAATGTAAAGACTGAAAATTGCAGAGGTTAACAAAAGGATTGACAAAGGCCAAATTTGACATCTGATGCTTATCCATTCTATCCACTGTTACACATTCAAATACATAGACATATCTCATGTGACAACTTCATTACAATGTACATTTCTAACATTACATATAATTTTTGAAAAACATATTCCCGTGATGCATGCACCGATTTCATGTGCATTTGATATACCACTTTTTTAATTTATTCATATTTGATACATGTTTTTTCATATAACTAATATACTCATAACACGAAAAAGAAAAGTACACTGCTTTATTTGCACATGAAAGCTAATTCTGTCGAATTATTTTTGATATATCTATGCATAATTAGAATCTTTATATCATAATTGTTAAGTATTCAAACTTTCATCAGTAGACACACTTATGACACACATATAAAGGAAGGCTTAAAGTACAAAACACACATCGAACAAAAAGAAAAGTTATTGCTTACCTAAAAGCTTAACATCCATATTTATTACGCCAACAAATCACTTTAAAATTGGATTATTCTAATTAAAGTCATAACCCAAAAAAACAGTTTTTTACTTCAGATAGAGATTAGAAACAAAAAGAAACCAAGAACTATGAATGTTTGAATACTGAACACCACGAAGAGCAAAACTGCCAAACAGAATCCCAAAAAAAAAAAAATTCAAGAATATTGTTGATTCAAAAAGTCCAAACTGAAATCACTTTTCAAGTTTTGGTATTAAAAGACCTGTGTTGCCATCGACCTTGGAATTCAAGCGCGGTACTTTTGTAGACGAATTGACATTATCATATTCATCAACATCAATTGTATCTCCAACGTTTCGTTTTTTTACATTTGGGGGTGAATTAAACTTGAAGGGACTTGTAGCTTCTGATTTGTCGGGCATGGAAGGCGTCAAATTATCACCGGTCTGTGAGATGGCGTCCTTGAAGCAAAATCAGGAAATAGATTTAGTACGAAAATAATAACAAAAAATATTTGATAAAAAAAATTTATATAAAAATAAATAATGTAGTTTTATAGGCTAACCTTCAACGACTTCGTTTCGTGAGATGCTTCGTGAGATGCGATTTCTGTATCATCAGGATTTCCAGAATTACCTGCCTGCTTTAGGTGCATAAAAAGTATGTATTATCATTTGTGGGTTTAAGGTTTTATTCCATCAAGATTTACAATTAATTAGTAATTAGTAAAAATCATTAAATAAAAGTGTGCATCATAATTTCCAAAAAAAGATGTATATAAATACCTCAACAGATAACTTTTTTTCCAAAGCATTGATAACGTTACTATCAAGCGTATAGCCAAGTATCCCAAACCGATTGTAGTTATTGGATACGTTGAATCTATTAACATCTATCTTGAATGCCATCTTTTTATGTACCAGACATTTGAGGTCATAAGGATACATTCTCGGATTATCCCCAGCCTGGAAAAAATGTCTTATGTATTATTGTTATGGTTAAAAGCAAATTAATATTAATTAATACAAATAAAATGAAACAAATAATAGAATTTAATAAAACATATATTATACTTAAGTTATACCTGTTTGATTTTCTCTATGAGCTCACTTGCACGTTGTTTGACAAGTCTATAAGCATCTCTATCAAACAGAGTTAGTGTGATTGTGCCAGAATCATCTTGGACACGAATAGGTATTTTATACCTACAAAAATATCCCACATAAATTTATATTAAATATGTTTAAGTTTAACTATACATTATTAATGATTAATAATGTATTTAATTTGTCCGGTTAAGGTTTTGGTAAATGTAAAAAACCTTGGAGCTGAAGAAATCTCTTTTTTTTTACACTTATCAGTAGAGCATTCAACAACCACACTTGCATCACCACTATCTGGACCGCTAAAAACATCTCTTCGATCAACTTTCTTTCCACAGTTTGAACACGCATCATAATACCAATCAATATCTTGTCGTATACCGTAAATTGTACCAACAATGATAAATTTCCCGACCTAAAAAAATATAAAATACAAAAAGATTCATAAAAAAACAATGCAACTACAATAAATGAATAATATAAAACAAAATCACATTAAATAAACCAAATTATTGACATACCTCTTGTGGTTCTAGCAAATCGACAACATTTTTAACTTTGTGATTATTCAAAAAGTCTTCATATTCATTGTATGATTGAGAGCTATCAAAAGTCAAAGAAGAAGAAGGGTTTTGAATTCCTCGTAATCCAACCAAGCTGTTTTTTTATTTAGGAAAATAATTATGAAATTAGTAAAATTATTAAAAAGAAACAAAATAAGAATGAATAATTAAAATAGTTTGTTACCTATCTGTGAAGGCCACAATTTCGGGAAGATCAGCATTTATGAACATACGTGTGTGATCAAAATAATTGTTAACAGAAGGAATTCCTGTTGAAAGAAAATAAATTAGTCAAAATAATGAGTAATAAAAAAGCGTAAAATAACGAAGGTTGCCTTTTATAAGAACTGTACCGTTATAGACATTAAGTCTTGCAAACTGCAAAATAATAACCACACGACCAACTTGTTTATGAGCTTCAAGATAAGAAATCACTTGGTATGCGAAATCTGCAAACAATATGACGTTAACTTGCAAACCTCTGCAGAAACAGTAAAGGTTAAATGTTTATATAATAATAATAATAATAATAATAATAATAATAATAATAATAATTTAATATATAATATAATAAAAGTTATAATTACTCTAAGTTTCTGATTTGTAAAGTTAGCCTATGTTTCGATTTGCTAACATCACGGGAATCCAGCTTGCCTAACGAAACAACTTCACCTATAACATCTACAAAATGATAATACAATATGTCAAATTTATGTAAAATTAAAAAATTAAATATAAAATGCAATAAAATAGGGGGAAAAGTACCAATTGAGATATTAGATGTAGTTGTCGCAGAGATAATGGTTTCAAACGATACAAAACAAAACTCATATTTTGTTTTGGATTGAAAACCAAGACACTCATGAACAGTTGTTTGTCCATGCAAGTTTAACTTGGAGGTTACATCACTTATTTTAAAAGTGTATTTGTTTGGAGCTATAGTGGGGGATCGGATGTAAATAGCGTCATCTTCTTTCAGCTTGGAGTCAAACCTTTGGAAATCTTTTCGGTAGACACTGGCTCTGATTTTTGTACCCTATTAATATATTGTAAGAATATTATATATATTGCTGACCAATTGTATATTAATTTATATAATTTGGTCAAAGTTGAATCAATTATTCGACCATGAATGAATTTGAATAATATTATTGGAATGAGCAAATACAAAAAAAAAAATGATTTTGAATAATGTTATTGTAATAGGATATTTTACCATTTCATCCATTAATATCATTTCAATTGATTTCACAACAGTGGGGTCAGATTCGGAAAATGATCTCCACAACCGGATGATACACACTTTTAGTGTGTAATCATCCCTCATATTGTCTAAGTCGCTGATGAAAGTGATATTTCTAGCTGCCATTGTCACTACAACAGAAAGACATACAATATTAAGGATAAACAATGGAAGAAAATTACACATAGAAAATGTAAACACAAACATAATTACAATTATGTCCCTAGAGTAGTAAACATATAAAAAAAGATTTGGCCATTACAATTAACAAAAAAAAGGCAGGATGAACGGGCAGGACAGATTTGTCCTTTAGAATTAACAAAAAGATAAAATGAAAGTATGTTGCTATTGATTGTAACGTTTGTTAAAGAATGCATGCAGGGGTAGGGGTATATTAGTCCAATTTGATGTACTTCATAGTTAAAGAATGCAGAAAATCGATATTTGAGTATATTTCATATTGATTAAATATAAATAAAGGGTAAAAATGGTATTTTACCAATAAAAAAATAAGTACCAACAGCAGGACAGATTTGGCCTTTAAAGTTAGCAAACACAGAAAATGAAAGCATGCTGAGAAGTACAAATTTTTTATGGTTTCTAAATAAAAGCAACGCCAAATTGAAAAGTACAATTTTCTTATTGTTTGATATTGTTTGGTTCCTGTTTTTGGGGTTTTTTTTTTTCTGCTGGGACGTTTATTTTTTGTGGTTTTTTTGTGTTTTTGTTTTTTTGGATGCTCTTTGATGTGTTTTTTTTTTAATTTGAAAACAATGTTACCCGAAGATGTAAGATTGGTCAACTTAATTAAGTTATAAAAATATCAAATTAAGAGTATATAATAATAGGATCCAAAAGTGGATAAGATTGACAGATATAAATAAAGGGTAAAAAGGGTTTTTAAGGGGTAGATAGGTTGTTAATATCATCTTCTTGGGGGTACATGTATATACACTACAAAGAGAAAACAAAAGACGAAAATGCCCTCCAGCATTTGATCCAGTGGATAGAATGGATAAGCATGAAAAATCAAAATTAACAACGATTGATGAAGGACGAAAATGCCCTAGCCATCATTATTGTTTGATTAGCAATCTGAAAGTAGGTTTTTAAGAAGCAGAAACAATTTTCGATTATGATTATCACACGCATACACATTGAGAATTGAGAAGCATAAACCGTTGTGTAAAAAACAACACAGAAATTAAAAAAAAACACACAAGAAGATTCAACTAATAAACAAACAATCTGAAAGTAAGCTTTTAAGAAACTTACCGAACACCTCTTTTCTGCGATTGAGTGGAGGATTTTCGTTTGTGATTGAGTGGATGATTTTGGAGCACGATTGATGAAGGACGAAGGAGACACAATTTACCAAAGAAACGATTGATATAAAGGTTTGAAATATATATTGACTGTAATACGATTTCCATTGAATGCAATTGATAGCATTGATAGCATACCTTATATAAAAGATCGGATACCATAATAAGATGCTATGAAACGGGAATGTAATGAATTTTGGAGTTAATGCCCAGACCTGTTATAACCGAGTAATTCTAAAGAAAACAGGGCGTAGTATATGTTTTGATACGCAGCTGAATCAAAGAGGGGTATAATAGGTATTTAACTTTGTAAAAATTCAGCTCTTTTCAATGGACACGTGGATTTAGGTTTTGTTTATTAGATAGGGAGATATTGTAGCCCGTTTGTTTAACAAGGAACCGAGTGTTTTACTGTTTTTAATTTATTTTTTATTTGAAATTATAATTCAAGTTCCCATGCACTTACAACTACAGTTGTAATGTTGCATTGTTGCTAATTTTGCATTTAAGTTCCAAAATAAAGAAATCCTCATGTAAATTTCCAACGAATTTGATACGAGCCCAGTAAGCCAACCCAAGGAGTCCAATCCAATAACCTAACAACGACCCAAGAGAATCACCAAGCGACCAACAAGACTTGAAGACTGAAGCAGTCATCCACGTTCTACTTTTCTGCATGCATTTAGGAAGACATTTTCTCCAATGTTTCCATTTTCTTTTCCATGTTCCGTTTTCCTTTCCACGTTTCTGCATTATAAGCTTGCTTTGTTTCCTTCCTGTATTTAAAAAGCTAGGATTGCATTAAAAAAAGATCAGAAAATTGCCTCAGCTCTTGTCTCTAATTTAAATTTTGGTACCGGAGCTTTATCCCCTCTAAGGGTTAACCTATCAATTGGTGCTTTTATTCACGTCAGAAGAAGTACCCCCCCACCGTATCCGACCAATTAGCCTAGCTAATCGCCTCCACCAATGCAGCAGCGCAACAATAGACAGCCCACCTCAGTAACGTCATCAATGCCCCAAAATTGTTTACGGCCAAATTCGATTCTCGATCACAAACCACCACCGACCTTGTTAATCACATCACCACATTATTCGACCAGCTTTCGGTAGACGACTCCCACGAACGAAACATACGCAATACTAACAACCATAATACACCCCCAACCCACCACCAACACACCACAACACCATAAGACCACCCAAAATTTCCTTACCCCTGTTCGACAGATCCAATCCATTGGACTGGATTTTTCAGGCCGACGATTATTTCACGTTCAACCAAATCCCACCCATCCAATGTGTTCCGCTCACAACGTTCTATCTCGCAGGCGATGCACTATCCTGGTATAAACATTTGGCTCAGAACGATCTGCTAGGATCATGGACACAATTCAAAAGGGAACTAGAACTTCGCTTTGGACCATCATCTTACGAAAACCATGAAGCAGCACTCTTCAAGTTACGCCATAATTCTACAGTCCAAGCCTATCAAACGGAGTTTGAACGCATCAATAATAGAGTAGATAGCCTCTCCCTACAAAGTGTAACGCTCTGTTCCGAATTGACTTTTAGTCTGAGGTTTGTGGGCCGAAGGTTGGTCATCATAAGGAGTATGGCTCTAAGGAAGGTAAAATCTAGGCCCATTTGGGTGCGGGTGATGTATTAGAAGTGATCCGGGTGTTCGGTTCGTGTTTTGGAGCCTAGGGGTATTTCGGTAAAGTGGCAGTTCGGGCTTTTGTGGAAAATGGATTTTTGTTCGGAAGGTCTTAAGAAAGGTTTGAGTTGTTAGAAGTGTAGGGCTTCTCGTTACCTTTTCGTGGATATAAGGATCGTCGAAAACGGATTTATAACGAAGAAGTTATGGCCTTCAGAAGTTTAGTAGTTTCAGGCTTAGCCGAGTACGCTGGGCGTAGACAAAGAGTACGCTGGACGTACTAGTGAAGAAGCCAGTACGCGGGGCATACTTTTGGAGTACGCTGGGCGTACTGACCAGGATGGTCGTGAATGTTCTTCGGAGTACGCTGGGCGTATGCCAATCAGACCTGAACCCTATTTTAGGGTCTTGGACCTTATTTAAGCTCCTTATCTCATAACCTAACCCTAATACCTTCAGCCTCCATCCCTCCAAACCCTAGAAATCGACCCTTAGCCCCCATTTGAGTGATTGTAGAGCTTCAAAGTGATTTTTGGTGTGTTTTGGTGCTAGAAGAGGAAAAAGGAACTTCTTGAAGAGTCATTGTTTGACTTGGAGCTTTTGGATCCAAGCTTTGTGCACCCAGATCTATCTTCTGGAGGTATAAAGTCTCAACCTTTACAACTCTTTCATGTAGATCTAGCTAAGTGGTACATTGTTATGATTTTGGTCCCTTTGAGGTGGTTCTTGTGAGTAGATGTTACTCCAGAACCTTTGAGCCTCTTATTTCGTCCTTACTAAGGTTATGGAGTCATAAAGTTTGGATCTTGAGGAGTGTAAACCTTCCATGCATGAGTTGGTAGTTATTTGATGGAAGTTTGGGACTTAGGGTTTAGATTTAGACCCCATTGAGTTATGCTAAGTCATAAAGTTGGAAACTTTATGACTTAAAAAGTCCCTTGAATTCAGATCTGAAAGTTTGGACTGAGGTCTCAAGGTATTAAGAAGTTTTAAGACATTTTGGGAGTGATTTTGACCTTTTTGAATTCATCTTTGGTGTTTGGGATTCATTAAGCCATGCAAAGGCTTAAAGCATTCGACTTTATGGATCAAGTCACTTATATTTAGCCATTTTGAGGTTCTGGACGTCTTGGCTTAATGGATTAAGAACTAGGATTGAGAGTTGGTCAACAGGAGGAGTACGCTGGGCGTACAAGCCTGTACGCGCAACGTACAAACCCTTAAGCTAGTACGCTTAGCGTACAAGCTGAGTACGCCCCGCGTACTCAGCATAATGGGATTTTGGTTTTGGGGCTTCGGTTTGGGCCATCTTCTGGGCTTTGTTGTTTTGGGCGCTGTTGGGCCATTAGGTTTTGGGTTGATATTTTATTTGTGGAGGCCCACTATGGTCTTGGGACCAATTTGCAAAATTGGGCCATTGATGGATTCATGGACATTATAGTCTTGGGCTTTTGGTTTGGGTTTGGGCCTTAGTTTTGGATCATATTGGGCCAGGGGTAAAATGGTCATTTTACCCCATGCATGGATTAAGGATTATGGTATGGGACCCAACTGCTAATTGGGTATATTGATTGGTAGTGACAGCTCGGGTAGCTGGCGGGGCAACAACTAAGGAATTCATGCGGGAAGTTTCTGCAGTGCGAGGTGAGTCTCCTCACCATACCAATAGGTCTAAGGCACCAATGTCGGCCCATTTTATGATATGTGATACACTAGCTGAAGTTGTATTATGTGGCATGTTAGCTAGTTATGTGATAGGGAGTATGCTAGTGATTATGTGGTATGTTAATTGATTTTGTGGTTCGTGATATGCTAGTGGTCTTTGTGATACTTGCATGGAAGACCTCAAGGGGTTCCCGGGGAACTTAGGTGTAAGACCTTGGAGGGTTTCCTTGGCATCCTAGTTCAATACCTTGGGGGGTTCCCGGGGCACTTAGGTGCAAGACCTTGGAGGGTTTCCTTGGCATCTTAGGTCAAGACCTCGGGGGGTTCCCGAGGCACTTAGGTGTAAGACCTTGGAGGGTTTCCATGGCATCCTAGGTCAAATACCTCGGGGGGTTCCCGAGGCATTGGGCTAAGACCATGTGGGGGTTCCCATGGCACCCGGAGTAAGACCCTGGAGGGTTTCCAGGGCTTCCTTATGTGTTGTTTTGCATGGCTTATGTGTTCTGTATAACTCTTCAGCTAGCATGATATGTTGTACGCGTTTGTGTGTGGGTATGCTCTGGGGAACTCACTAAGCTTCGTGCTTACAGTTTTGTTTATGGTTTCAAGTATCTTCGATTTGGAAATGAAGAGCTCGGATTGATCGCAGTACACACACCTATGAATTCCGCAATGAATGATTTTGGGACGAACTCTGATAAATGTTTTACTTAATGATGATTTGAAATGTTTGGAATAAATGGTGTCAATGTTTTTAATTAACAATGTTTTGGAATGATTGGAATAAATGATATCTATTTTTGGGTTATATTAAAAATGAAACTTTTACCCCTGATTTTTGGGTCGTTACAAGTTGGTATCAGAGCCTTGGTTTGAGGGATTCGGACATACTTTCGGGTGAGTCTGAACTCAAACTGAGGATCTG